GCCGGTTCTGCCTGCATAGGATTGCACGCGTGGAAGTGTAAGAGAGACAGGGTCCAGTCTGTGGAGAGTGCAAGCCAGCCACACCTACATTCATTACAGCTCTGGTGGGGAGAGCAGCAACCTAGTCAAGATCAATCCCCCACGCAATAGTAATTTGTGTATTTATTATACCCTCGATTTATCCAGGGTCCGGAAGGGTGGCCCTGGGTACCCTTGGGAACAGGGTCCGAAAGGGTCGCCCGACCCATTCGGACCCTACCTCAGATATTAGAAAAGCAAGCCAGTTAAAACCAGATTTAACTTGCCTGCAGTAGTCCTGCGGTATCACCGCACCGAAAGAATGCCTTTTGGGGGGTGGCTGACGGGGGGGGGCACTAGGCATTGAAATACCTTGTAGACCCCCGGAGTGCCTTGTATGGGGGTCATAGAATATGAGAGAATAGGTGTGCTTGCGAGTGGTACAAAACATTTACCCTGAAAACCTAAACCCTGAAACCTATACACCAAAATCCAGAGACATCCAAAAACCTCAAAATCCAGAATCCTTGGAAGAGCCCCTGAACCCACAAACCCCTAAACCCAGAAATTCTTAACCCTTATGTCGCTTATGTCCCGCAGTAACCCAAAACCCCAAGCGCAGAAACCCTAAACCCAGAAAGCCCTTGAACCCAGATACCCACCAAGCCCCCAAACGCAGAAGCACTGTACCCAAGCGCCTGAACTCAGAAACTGAAAACCCAAAACCACTGAACAGAGGAACCGCTGAACCCAGAAACCCTAAACCCAGAATCCCAGAAACCCTGAGCCCATATCCCAGAAACCTTAAACCCAGATCCCAGAAACCCTGAGCCCATAGCCCAGAAACCCTGGCATGAACAGCTTGGCTTCAAGTGAAATCGGCTTGAAGTTGATCCTGTATGTTCGTCCTTAATCGCTACAGACCTCGCCAGGCTTGCCCGAGTGTGAGTGTCAAAACCCAGAAACCCAAAACCTTGTACTCCAAACCCTTGAACTCAGAAGCTAACAACCCAGAACACCTAAACCCAGAAGTTCTGAACCCCCAAATCTGCGAGTAAGCCCAGAAACCCTGCACGCAGAAACCCTAAACCCAGAAAACTCCTGAAGCCAGAAATGCAAAACCCAGAAACCGCAAACCCCGGAAGCCGCAGACATCATAACCTGAAACCCAAAATCACCGAACCGAGAACCGCTGAACCCAGAAACCGCAAACACCCAAACACAGAAACCCTGTAGAACCCAGAATCCCTAAGCCCTTAAACCAAAACCTTAAACCCCTGGACGCTGCACCGAAGCACAATAGCGGCTTGAAGCAAGTCACATGTCGTGCTCGAATCGAGTGGCCGACATGCCGACGCCACAGGGGCGACGCCGGGCGTCGCAACAGGAATCCACCGAGCGGCGCCCGGCGTCGCCCCGCTCCCACAGGTGTCTGCGGCTTCCGGGGTTTGCGGTTTCTGGGTTCTGCATTTCTGGCTTCAGGAGTTTTCTGGGTTTAGGGTTTCTGCGTGCAGGGTTTCTGGGCTTACTCGCAGATTTGGGGGTTCAGAACTTCTGGGTTTAGGTGTTCTTGGTTGTTAGCTTCTGAGTTCAAGGGTTTGGAGCACAAGGTTTTGGGTTTCTGGGTTTAGGGTTTCTGGGCTATGGGCTCAGGGTTTCTGGGATTCTGGGTTTAGGGTTTCTGGGATATGGGCTCAGTGTTTCTGGGATTCTGGGTGTAGGGTTTCTGCGTTCACCGGTTCCTCTGTTCAGTGGTTTTGGGTTTTCAGTTTCTGAGTTCAGGCGCTTGTGTACAATGCTTCTGCGTTTGGGGGCTTGGTGTGTATCTGGGTTCAAGGGCTTTCTGGGTTTAGGGTTTCTGCGTTTGGGGTTTTGGGTTACTGCGGGACATAAGCGACATAAGGGTTAATAATTTCTGGGTTTCGGGGTTTATGGGTTCAGGGGCTCTTCCAAGGATTCTGGATTTTGAGTTTCTGGATGCTTTTGCGCAGGCCCCGCGAACTTAGGTAGGCACCCGAGCAAACAACCACGGCCTGGGAAGCTTGAGTGTGCGCCTTGTCCCGAGGCCCGCTGCCTGCTACTTCTGTGAACTTCTGCGTGGGTGCTGGAAAAATATATGCGGAAACCATGCTGAATATCATGAAAACTATGTTGAGCCATACCCAAATTCGAGCCGAGCCCGACGCAGACTCAATGACTACCAGCAGGGTCCGAATGGGTGGGTCCGAAAGGGTCCGGCCAGATCTACGGGAGACCCTGGGAACCACCCTTTCGGACCCACCAAACAGGGTCCGAAAGGGTGTCCCCCGGCCGACCCTGCGTATCTCGATCCTATTATTTATTTGTTACCAATATACACGCAAATGCTAACATTAATACTAATGTGCACAGAAGTGATACAGTTCCTCCGCAGATTAATGCGCATAGTCTTATTAATTATAAAGGAGTAGGCAGAAGAACTAGGATACCAAGCAAACCTAACTAGGATACCACTTCTAAGCTTAAAACCCCAAACCCTAAAGGCCAAACCTAAAGGTTTTGAAGTCCATTAGGGTTTAAGTTGGGGGTTTTAAAACCTAAAACCCTAAAGCCCCTAACCCTACAGTAAGACCCCCAGGGTTTTTAAAACCTGAAACCTTAAAGCCCCTAACCCTACAGCAAGACCCCCAGGGTTTTAAGACCTTTATACCTCAAACCCTAATACCCTAAAGCCTCTAAAACCCCCAGGGTTAAAGGGTTAAAGTTGGGGGTTTAATTCCTCAGGCTTTCAGGCTCACAGGCTTTCATCATCATCATCATCATCATCATCACATTCATCTACATCGGCGCTGCTGGTGCCGCTGCTGGCGCCGCTGCCCCAGCCTCCAAGGCTGGGGTTGGGGGCGGGGGGGGTTAGGTTTAGTAAGTGTAAGGGTTTAAAAGTAGTTAGTTTGAATTTGAGGGAGTTTCCGAAAATTAGGGAATCCCTGTATAGTACCCTAATATAACAGTATCCTTAAAGGACCCGGACCCCTAAGTAAGCTACCCCTAATTTTCGGAAACTCCCATCTAGGTGTAAGAGTTTGTTAGGCAGGTATTGTAGGGTTTTGGGGTTGCTTATTAGGTGTAATTTGTGAGAGTTTATTAGGTCTGGTAGGGTTTTGGGTTTGTTAGGGTCTAGGAGTTTAGGTGCAAGAGTTTACTAGGTATTGTAGGGTTTTGGGTTTGTTTGGGTCTAGGAGTTTAGGTGCAAGAGTTTACTAGGTATCGTAGGGTTTTGGGTTTGTTTGGGTCTAGGAGTTTAGGTGCAAGAGTTTACTAGGTATCATAGGGTTTGGGGTTTGTTTGGGTCTAGGAGTTTAGGTGCAAGAGTTTACTAGGTATCGTAGGGTTTGGGGTTTGTTTGGGTCTAGGAGTTTAGGTGCAAGAGTTTACTAGGTATTGTAGGGTTTTGGGTTTGTTTGGGTCTAGGAGATTAGGTGCAAGAGTTTACTAGGCATTGTAGGGTTTTGGGTTTGTTTGGGTCTAGGAGATTAGGTGCAAGAGTTTACTAGGTATCGTAGGGTTTTGGGTTTGTTTGGGTTTAGGAGATTTTGTCATTTGTGCATCATACCGTAGCATCTTCTGCTTACAGTGCAGTTGCAGTCTTACTGTCACACAGTCTGTCTCGGGCGTGAATTCGCCCCCCACTTTGTGTGATGGCCTCCATGCATAACTACACTGTGGAGTTTGTGATCAAGAAGTGCAAAGATCGCCTGAACGACCAGTCGCCGTACTATGTGTCCATCTATGGAAGCAGTCACGAAGATGGGACCAAAAGGTCTGATGCAATCCCTGGCCCAACCCCTGTTCCTTGACTTCTTTGTGCATGTGTCATGTGTGAACTGTAGGACTGTAAGACTGTGCCTGTGGCTATACCAAGGTCTGGGACTTCTCCGGGTTCTTGCAGCTTCACAATCACCAGATGATTCTTTTCGTGTTGCATCGGCAGGGCCGGGGTGCCGATCAGCCTATCTCCACAGGGAGTGTGGCATCAACGCTCCTTCGGGAGAAGAGAGACAACTACTTGTTGGAGTTGACGGGGCGGGAAAGTCATACCCTTGAGGTGGAACTGAGGTGCCGAGGACAGCCAGTCGAGACAGTCCCGCAGTCTGCAGCAGTCTCACAGCCAGCTGCAGTCTCACAGTCCGCTGTCTCGCAGTCCGCTGTCTCGCAGTCCGCTGTCTCGCAGTCTGCAGTCCCAGCAGTCCGAGAGTCAGCAGGCCCGGTGTCGGGAGAGACAACCATAGGACAGGTTTTGCACCTGACATCCTTCGATCCACCAGAGCCCGAGCTGGATCTTCATGATGATGTGTTTGCTCCGTCGGCCCCGGATGCAACCCCTGGTGGCTATGGAGGTGCAGACAGAGCAGGTAGGAACATGGGCAAGCGTAGTCTAGCAGATTCAGATTCACTGTGTGTGTTCAGCAGCATCTCCCATGGCACAGGTGCAGAACAGGCTTTGTTGGGCATGCGGTCCAGCTCTCCTCCAACCCGGCTTCTGGATTGGGAGTATTTCCAGTGGCATCTCAGGATTCTCATTTCAAGATATGCACAGTCATGTTCTTGAACACTTGCTTGCGTATGTGATTTGTATCATTGTGTGTAATGAGGAATGGATCCACTCCCACGCAGATTCCGAAAGTGGATCCTTCTTTCCAGTTCAAGTGGATCTCCATGGTCTTGCAGAAGGAAACCCAGTGGGGCCCGATAGAATTGGACCAGAACATGCTCCAGACTGCTATGCGCTGTTTTTTGTATGCAAATATGAGTCTGTTGATCATATCATGTCATTGTCAATTTCTGCTTGGAATCTGAGGTAAGACGGCATTGACCCTGTTCCCGACAGTCCTGCAGTCTTACAGTCCAAGCACAAAGCCTTCGGACATGAGGGAGGAGTGCAGCTTGTCAAGTCGAGTTGCTGTTTGCTCTCTGTCGAAGTCCAACTGGCAGTTAGATCTAAGGTATGATCGAGTTCCTCTCGCACGAGATGCAGCGTGCCAAGTTCAACATGTGGCTGGATGTGGCTTGTCACAAGAATACATGTTAGAGACTGTGAATGGAGAGACTGTGTGACTGAGGAATGGAGAGACTGTGTGACTGAGGATATTTTGGAAAGCAACATCCCGTGCACTTCGGCCATTGTCTACCACTGGTGCCAGCACGGCTTTGAGGGGTTCGGCCAATCCAGAGGTGCCACAGACTATCTGTACCCGAAGGGCCTGGATTTCAGTCTTACCAAGCATGTGCCTTCCATGATGTTATATGAGACGATTGTTGTGTTGGTTGTTGTGAGCGCTCATCACTTAGTGGCAAGATCTTTCCATCTAAGGTGGATGACACTATCCTCATCCTTCGTGATGCTATGATTTTGGTGGGTGCTCTTGCACCCAGGGGACCTGATGGCAATGGAACTCTCGGTCGATCAGGCACACAGTCCACAGGCCCCCAGTCGTCAGTCACAATGCCTATGCCAAGACAGGACGAGTGCTGAAACTACACCATTGTGTGTTACTGCACTGCTGGTGATATGTATTTTGTTTCTTGCCCTCTGTGAGGAGACCCCAGTCCACTTTCTCAACAGGTGGTTCGGATCCTGCTGGGACTCGTACAAGGCCCCTTTTGGCTGGTCATTGGAGATGGAGCGCCAGGAGTTCATCAATGGCAACTTCAGGGTGGTCAAGGCCATGAAAGACCCCTTCAGTGACTTGTTTCAGTTAGTCGGAGGAGAGATGTGCTGTGTTTGTATCAAACTATATTTGTCACTGGTGTTTTCCTGAGGTCCCACGGACTTGTTTACGCAAGATGACTGTTTCAGCTTCTGGACGCCTGTCAAGGGGCATTTCGTTTGGGTATTCTACAGACAGCCGATCCAAGACGGGGAAGCCTTCCAAGTGCCGTCGATTTTCTTTTGGAAAATCTTGCAGCTGCTTGACAGAAAAGATACATGACAGTTGTGTAGTTTGATGCTGTGCAATTGTGATCAGACATGACATCTTGGTTCGAATTTCTGAGGCAGCAGGTCGACGGCCACTTCAAGTACTCAGGCAGCAACTACATCTGGAGCCCGACAAATTCAGCTGAAACTTGGTACAACATTTAATTGTTTCCCCTATCTCCCCACAACCAAACAAAATGAATACAAGTCATGCGTGTAACTCAGTGATGCATCCCAGGATGAGTTCAAGATCGAGCGGGCAGAGAAGCAGGTCCTCAGGCCCAACTGGATGATCACAGCTATCCCCGGTGTGCAAAAGAGCTTCATGTGCCCCAGACCAACAGTCCTGCAGTCCTGCAGTCCTTCAGTCTTGATTTTTGGTATGTGTTTGTGCAAGCTGAGGCAAGTCACAAAGTGGGAGCTGGACCGCATGGCTGTGGTGACTCCCAAACATGATCCTGTACGCCGTGCTTTTCTGCTGGAGATGTAGCTTGCTTGCAGCAGTTTGTCACACATGCATGTGTTTTGTGTTTTACTGCTTACTGTTTTGCTGCTTACTCAGGAGCCACGAGCCGTCATTCCACTCACGCGTTTCTCCGAAGCTGACTCTTGTCAAGTTGGATCCGGAAAAGATCCCGGAAAACCTGATGCAGTGTGTGCGGTATGCCCAGTGATGTGGCACTGTCCTACAGGCTTACAGTCCTGCAGTCTTTACTGATGTCATCATATACAGCAGTCATCTTAGACTCAACTGCTTGCACGGACTGTGGGACTTGTGGCCTGTATTAGGATCTTCCTGCACAGATGGTCACTGTGCCCTTTTTCTTTCTCGTACATGCGACATGACTCTGTGTGTTCGAGATTGACCCCATGACTAAAAGCAGAGGGCTGCCCAGTCCTGCAGTCGTACAGGCCTACAGTTTGATTAACTTAATATACTTAGCACAGTTTCAGGCTGGGTGCCCGACTAATTTTACTTGATTCTGGATGCTGCCATGCTGCACTGAAAAAGTGCCCTCGCACATAGAAACCCTAAACCCTAATTACTAAACTCTAAACCTAAAACCCCTGAATCCCCAATCCCCTCAATCCCCTAGAGCGTGTTCGCCCTCGCACATAGAAACCCTAAACCCTAAATCCTAAACCCAAACCTTCAGCCTGGCAGGCTCTGCCCAGCTGCGCTGCTGTGGCCTCTTCGAGGCCACAGCAGGAGGGTTTAAATTATTTTCGGGATTTAGGGTTAGTGAGGTTTAGTAGGGTTTAGAGTTTCATTTGGGTTTAGGGTTTAGGGTTCACATTCCATGCTTTCCGGATTGACTCTGTAGGGTGTGGTTGGGGATTCGGATATAAATACCATTTCAAGATTCGAGAGTTTGGGGTTTGGGGGTTTAGAATTCAGGTATAGTAGGCCCCATAATGTTGAAAACCAGTGGCCACATAGTGCTGGGATTCCCATACCCTACTTACTTGTTAAGGATTGATGCTTTGGGGTTCCCTGATTCTCGACTATTAAATACTAACTAGCTAATACTTTTTATTGAATACTTGACACTGGCTGATATTGTTACACACCAGCACAAACTGTGTACACAGGTGATCAGAAGGCTTACCTCTACCATTGATGTCTTCACTTCTGAAGTGATACCACGGGCCAAGACCTGTGCAGAAATGCACCCAGAAGATCAGAAGCTTTACCTCATGCATCAGCGCAAACCGTGTTTGCAGATCTGAAGACTTACCTTTACCATTCATTGATGTCTGCGCATCCGAGGCCAAGCTGCCCCAGAAGATCAGAAGCTTTACCTGATGTATCAGCGCAAACCACCACCACCACCACCACCAGGACTACTACTACGACTACTAGTCCTACTGTTACTACTACTAGTAGTCGTACTACTACTAGTTACTACTATTTCGGAGGGGCAGGAGCTTAAAAGAGAACCCTGCCATTGAAACCCTAAACCCTACTAGACCCTAAAAAACCCTAATCCCTAAACCCGACATTCTAAACCCTAACCAGGCTGTGGCCCCCCACGCCGGCGGCTGCCGGCTGGTGGGAAGAGGCAGTGCCTGATTTCAGTTTTAGGGTTTAGATTTTATAGGTTTTGGGTTTAGAATTTAGGGGTTCCGGATTTAGGGTGTTAGGGCTCGGGGGCAGAGGTTTAGTAGTGTTCAGTTTCAGGTTTAGGATTTAGAGTTTATAGGTTTGGGGTTTAGAATTTAGGGGTTCCGGATTAAGGGTGTTAGGGCTCAGGGTCAGACATTTAGTAGTGTTTAGTTTCAGGTTTAGCATATAGTGTTATAGTGAGTGGTTTTTAGGTATAGAATTTAGGGGTTCCGGATTTAGGGTTTTAGGGCTCGGGGTCACAGGTTTAGTAGTGTTTAGTTTCGGGTCTAGGGTTTAGAGTTTACAGGTTTTGGGTTTGGAATTTAAGGGTTCCGGATTTAGGGTTATAGGGCTCGGGGTCAGAGGTTTAGTAGTTTAGTGTTTCAGTTTCAGATTTAGGATTTAGAGTTGATAGGTTTTGGGTTTAGAACTTAGGGGTTCCGGATTTAGGGTTATAGGGCTCGGGGTCAGAGGTATTTAGTAGTTTAGTGTTTCAGTTTCAGATTTAGGATTTAGAGTTTATAGGTTTTAGGTTTAGAATTTAGGGGTTCTGGATTAAGGGTTTTAGGGCTCGGGGTCAGGGGTCTAGTAGTGTTTAGGGTTTGTAGCACTTACTCCTTATAGGGTTTAGGGTTGAAGATTTGGGTGTTTTAGGTTTAGGGAATCAGGGTTTTTAGGGATCAGAGAGTTAGTTTTCTGCAGAGTTTTGCAATCCCTAAGACCTTAACACCCTAAGCCCTAACATTAGGTTAATGTCATTAGACTGAAGCCAGACTGAGTAGCTGAATTCTATAAATCTCCACTCAGCAACTAAGCAGAGGCTCAACTTCTCCCACAGTCCCACAGTCCTGCAGTCCTGAAATCATGCCCTTTGTAATCCACATCATCAGACTAAGAATAAGTGACAGCCACATTGGCACCGGTGGGAAGACCGGTTTTACTGGTGGAAAACAGCTCTGAGAGCTTGGTGGGAGAAGAACCACGCACTGGACGATCGCTCAGATGGACGCACCAGTGGTGCCAGTGGCGACGATCGCAATGACTTGGCTCCTGTGTGGGTTTCCACCCCCGGGAAGCCCTACAACGACCATTACTGCGGCCTGGTCGGCACAACTCGCAGGTGCATATGGCATTGCTAACCAGTGCGCTTGACATCATCGACATCGAGCTGGTCAGGGTGTAGTAATTATAATAGTTCCACAGTTTATTAATCATATGCCTGCAGACCATTAGTGAACCAGGAGTTGATTGGCAATTGAATTTTAGGACATTGTAGATATGATTGCAATTCGTCATATTAGAAGCACTCTTGTGCACCTGGTTAGGGTTTGGACCTCTAATCCAAGCTCCTCATAGGATAACAAACACTTAAACCCTAAAACCTCGAAAACACACCATACATAAGAAACACTGCCTAGCCCTAGAAGCTTTAAACTTCAACACAGAGGCTCTATCTGAAGCTTCTGGGTTATATACTTCTAAGAGATTTTAGGACAATGCTGGCAATCAGATCTGATCTCAATTACAGCTAGGGGTGGTAGATTTTATAGTATCTCGATCTACTTGACATTGACAAGTGCTAAGATCTTGAATGACGCCCCCACCACTACCACCCCGAAGGCCTCTGGGATTTCAGCTTCTGATGAGAATACTTCAACCCTAAACCCCAAACCCTTTTGGAACTGGCCAACCCCAAACCCTAAACCCTAAAAAGCGCACCTGAAACTCTAAACCCTGAGCCCTAAAGCCTCTAAGCCTAAGCCCCCATTCGCAATTTGATGAAGCCAGTCCCCAGCCCATAGTAATTATTATAGATCTAGGGTTTTGTAGTTCAGAGATTGATTGGGCAGTAGGGTTTAGGAATTGAGATTGGTCAGGTATGTAATTAAAATATCATCCCCAAACCCTGATTTTACAACCCCAATTACTTACTAATACCTGTACCCACCTTTTGCACAGGTGGTGGCAGCACTCCTTCGTGCAGAGGTGGGTTCCTTATTATTTATTAATAATAAGTAGGATTTAGGGTTTAGGGTTTAGGGGGCTTCAGCCTTTTGAAGGCTTAGGATTCAGCCAAAGAGTAGCATGTATTGTCTCAATTCAAAATTATAATAATATCATTAAGTAGAATACTTGAAGTCTAGAAGACAAGAGTGTGGGGTTTATGGTTAGGTAAAGATTCAATTGACAATCTGTCCAATAAGACCAAGAATAAGAATAGAGACAGACTTGTAGGGTTTAGGTTCAGGGTTTAATGAGTTTAAAGTTTTAAAAGGTTTTGGGTTTAGGGTTTAGGATGATAGATAATGGGGCACATATTTGAGAATCAGAGTTGGGTAAGGTCAAGAGTTCACAAAACTGTTGGGATATCAGTGTGTGTGCCAGGGTTTAGAGCTTGGGAGAGAGTAGTAGGGCTTAGGGTTTAGGGTTTTAGACTAGTAGAGTTTGTCAGGTTCAGGAATTATACACAGGCCAGTTTTGGTTTACTTTTGACTGAATCAGGTCGTGGGGGCCATCTGCATGCAACATCGACAATACAGCCTGTGCCTCAATGTCTAAGCTGCCAAGCTCAAGTCTCATATCTGTGGCGTTTACAAAAAAATATTGATTGAGGTATTGTGTATCTAGCTGAATCTGGCTCATGCAGAAATCCCGCTGTCCTGAGGTCTGTTGGACTGCGGGACTGTCGCAGCCTGGGCCTTGGTGGCTGCACTTTTAGGGGTTTAGTTTAGGGTTCCAGGTTCAGAAGCCATGACGAGAGTGGAGGTTTTTTCAGGGCAGTCACACAGTCCTGCAGGCACACGGTCCTGCAGGCACACAGTCATGCAGGCACACAGTCATGCAGGCACACAGTCATGCAGGCATACAGTCCTGCAGGCAGACAGTCATGCAGGCACACAGTCATGCAGGCACACAGTCATGCAGGCACACAGTCCTGCAGGCACGCAGTCATGCAGGCACATGGTACAGTCCCACAGTCCCACAGGTCAGAGCTTTGCAGAGCTCTGCAATCATGCAACCCCACATGACATGTCCCTTAAGGATACAGCCTTCCCCCTCGTAATGATACGGTTTAGAGTTGATACTCACACTCATTGTCACTGCCTGTCGGATCAAGCCCACGGCCAGTTAAATTCAGAATTAGTTCACTGTGCTGCAAGACTGCAAGACTGTCAAACTGGGCCAGGGGCCCCAGCGCTTTTCGGGATGTCGTCGGGAGATTTCCCTTCACAGAATTTGTCAGGAGCTTTGAGCTATTTTTCTAGATTGAATTTGTCAGGAGCTTTGCCATAAAGGGGGTTTGGGCTTTCGGAACCAATTATTAATTGAAACTTTCTTTCGAGGGCCAGAGCTTGGTATATTGTGTCGACTCTAAAAC